GAGGGGGGGGGGGCGGTCCTCTGTGCGGTGCCGAGTACAGCCCTGCGTCTGTCTGTTGGGTCGTCTTGACTCTTGACCCTTCTGCCTTGTCACATCTCTCCATTCTCTCTTCCTCCCTTTTGCTCAAGCCACTTTGACAAGAGTGGCTTTCCGTGTTCAAAGCTGAACAAGCCGTCCGTGACCAACACGCAAGCCACCCCGCCGAGCAATGAGCCCATACTCATACTAGTCGTGAGGCTACCCGTGCTTCGTTGCCTTGCCGGAGAATCACGACTCGCGGGCCTCGTCTGGTTCGCTTTTGGGGCCGACGAAATTGCATGTGTTATAGCACGAAGCACGGGCTAGTACTAGCTAGCGTGATGCCCGATATCACGGGGGCAGCGGCAGAGCGGTCATGACTTGCTCGGTGTTCTTCTTGACGAGTGAAAGCCGCGGCTGACTTGGCTTCTTCGCATTCCAACAGGTTCAGCCGGTTTGTCGGGACGCTGCTCGGTCTTCCCGGGACGTGCGTACTTCTGTGGTGGTTCTGGCCTGAAGCACACGGATTCGTATTTCATCCCATTTCCGTCATCTTCGTTGGGACCTCGTGGCTTTGCGACTTGGCCTATCCGTTTCTTCTGGCGCACGTCAGAGCTACAGAGAGGGTTCTTCCTGACGGGACCGTCGTGGCGGCCGCCGATTCTGACATCAAGCACCAAAAGAGCCAGTGAAGCAGCGGCCAGATGTTTACAGAAATAGGGCCCTCGAACAGGCTTCAGACATGGACTAGCTCTCTCTACCCACAGCCAAAAGACACAGCTCAAACTTCCACCATGGGGCGCATTTCTGATCTGCAGCCACCACCGCATGCCAGATTTCCCGTCTTGCCACGACTCGATAGGACCAGGACCAGGACCAGGACCAAGACCAGGACCGACAACCTCGCAGGGAAAGCTCGTCCCCAAATGCGCTCTTCGCGTCCACCTTTGTTGTGTCAACTCCGCCAGCCCGGTCCGTCGCAACCGTTTGAGCCGCTATATCCATCCAACCATGCTACACCTTCTCCCGAACCCATGCGTAACATCGACTTCGAATCTACAACACGATTCGTCGGCCAGGCATCTCGGGCAGGCTCACCTTGATGGCCCGGCACCCAAGACGCCGCTTTCGTTGGTTGATGGCGTGAAAATGCCCCCTTCAGCAAGGTTGCCTCGCCTGTCTTGCGATTGTCTGACTCGTTCTCGCCGCGGAGCAGTCCAACGGAGGAAAAGGAAAAGTTATTGTAAAGGCCAGACAGAGCGTCGGTACGTTCAAGGAGCACATGGACGAGGAGCACGTGGACAGGGAACAGGACGAGGGACGGGGCAGATTGAGATAACCAACAAGCCAAAAATAAGCCCTGCCAAGAGATCCGGTGACTGTATCGTATCGAAGGGTCGAGAAGACGCAGAGGTGCACAGGCGCCGCATCATTTTATTTTCATCTTGGTCAACAACAAAGCCCTCGTACTTGTAACCCCCTTGGAAGCGCGTGGTTCGTCCCTTCTTCTCTCCGTCGACGCATGACAAAACGACAGCCTCCCACGTACGGAGTGCGCAGAGGGCTTGTTCGACATGACGAGTCGTTGGCACGCCCAACAGCAACAAATGCACCTGACTTGCCTTGTTCGTACGTTATCTTGCCAACGCCTCTGTCCGAGCGTCCCCAAGCGCGTCAAAGCTACATTTTTTAATTCAAGTCACCTGACTCTTGTCCCGCGCAGGAGGCGCCGGACTTGGGTCTTCAACGTACCCGTACCCGTACCCGTGCCCGTACCGTACCCGTACCCGTGCTCGATTGGCTCGTTGCGGTGATTCGAGCTTGAGGACGATTCGGACGTCATGGCGTCGAGCGGTGACAGCTTATCCAGCCATGTCATTACAAGCCCGAATCAAGGGCAACCATCTCGTCTCGGACAGCGGACAAGGTGACTGTACCCATTCACGAGCAGTGTGGTTCTCTCCTGGGATTTGAGGCTTGACAGGCGCTAATACAGGCAAGGCATTGCTTGTCGATGCATGTACTCCGCATTATGTCAAGGACGGGTCCAGGGTCCAGGGTCCAGGGTCTGAGGGTCTTCTTCATTTCCTTTCCTGAGGGGGCACAGCCGTCCGTGGGAAACGGCAGGGTTTTGATGCGTGTTGGTTACAAGCGGCTGCGGTCGTTTGGAGGTGCCAAAGCCCCCGGACTTCAACGTCGCAAGGAAGAACTGCCAAGACACCAGCGTCTCGGCCTCGGCGCGCCAACGCACATGGTGACCAACGATTTCACAACCAGAACCTGGCGATTGACGGCGCGAGGGCGGGCACGCTGGCATCCCACGCACGGCAAGCCGAGGACCATGGAGGGATGGATGGCCTTTCTTTTTGAGAGTGGAGCGAGTTCATGCACCCACGCATGGTTGGGAGTTGGAATTGGCGGGCCTTGCGATATTCCTTCCACAGGCAACAACGGGGCAGCGGATGATGGGAACTCGGGAGTCGGTGCTCCGTACGGTGCTGCGTATGTATGTTACAACAAGTTCGTTACTTGCCTAGACAGCAGTCAACCTGTTTCTTGGGGGGCGGGCGTTCAAGTAACAGACCAAAGGGACGCCGAGAATCCGAATCCGACCAGGCAGCGTTGATCAGCGCGCGTGCGGCCGATGATGCTCCCCACCAGTGCGATGCGCACGGTACGGAGTACATGGCTCGGGACCTCGACTGACCAACCGAAGGGGTCCTTGCCGAGCATGATTTCCGCCACGGCGTTGAACTCGAGGGACGGCGCGAGCAGAGGGCCTCCCGGTGGTGGACGGGAGCCTTTCATCGGAGCATTGTGCCCCAATCTTAGCCGGAGGTGGGCAGCTAGCCTGGCTTGTCTTGACTCTTGTCGATACGCTCCAGTTGGCGTGAGCAGTGAGCACCGTCGACGAATGCACGACACGACACAGGGGACGACGAGTGGGTATTGTTTGCGCACTGATGTCGACATGGTGTGGATTGCTTGCGGAGCCGCGGATCAGTTTGACGGGCCGGGGTGGCTGGTCCAAGGTTGATTGACTGATGACATGTACGGAGGACTCTGCAAGTCCCGAGGAGCAGTGCAGAGAGCAGTTCACCATGGCATGGCGCTGGGTGGTGTCTTTCAACTCCAACCCGCCATATGCATATACTCGAGATGCAATGTGCAAAGACCGTAAACCACCCGCCGAGATGGTCATCACACAAGCTCTTTTCCCCGCTCTCCTTCTCTCTCCTTCTCTCTCATTCTCGCGTATTCCGTACAACGTACTTGAGGAGCTTGGAAGTGAAGCTGAATCCCCCAGTCCCGCCCAGTCATCGAAACGTGCCCGCTGAATCAAACACGAAGCCGACCAAACCGTCGGGACACGGCAATGCGACTGCAGCCACGCCCAGCGTCGTGGTGCCGCAAAACAAGGCAAAGCAAAGCAAGCCAGGGAAAAGAAAAATAAAACAAAAAGCCAGCACGCAGTGACGCAAGCAAGTTGGTCTCGAGCCGCACAGTCGCCAACCACTTGATGGATGGATCGGTTGATCGGTTGCGTCGTCTCGTTCTGGCCCCAAGAAGCGAGCCGCCAAGAAAAGAAAGTACTAACTAGTAGAGAGCAAGAAAAAGCAAAAAGCATAAACGCCTTTAGGCCTTTTTGCCTGCTGCAGCCGAGGCCAATCGCGTCCCATCCGTGGACACTCTCGACCCGTCGCCCACGTAACGTCGCCTTGGACCCAGGCGTAGTTTCCCCTCTCCGCCTCAGCCTTGTGGTGGCTGTCGCGACACTTCTGGTCTGTGACGGGTCCGTCCCTGTGGATCCCCAGTTGCTGCGGCACGCAAAAGAAAATGCTTATTCTGCTGTTTCATGGCCCGGACGTTTAAACGTTCACCGCCCGCGCGCCAAGACCATGGCCGTGCTGCCGCAGAAGAGACGCGTCTGTTGGCCCTCCGGAACCGCTTCAACGTGGTCGGAGCCGATGACGGCAAGCATTGGTAACAAACGGGCTTGGCTTCAGAGGGCGTTGCGCGTCGATACAGGGCATCAGAGCATCAACGCCATCATCATGCGGCTGTGTCAAGATCCTGGCTCGCCGGGGACGCGGTCGAGCAGACGAGACCCCCTGCCGGGCAGTGTACTTGATTCCGATCAAGACGGCATGGAGCAATGGCAGCCATCGTGTACTTGGAACTCCACCCCAAGAGTCCGAAAGGCGGAAGCGAGAGAGGGAGGCGGCAAAGGGGGGAGGGATGGAGAGAGAGATAGAAGTCCCGGGACGGAGGATATTCAGCTTCGACAGAGCCCGACTGCAGGTACCAAGCAGCAGCACCGTCATGGGTGCGTGAGTGGTCACTGGTGATGCTGATGCTCCTATCGCGACTGCTCACGCGACCAGCCAGCCATATTTGACCTGCAACTCGATGCCCAACCGGATCTGCCCCGTCCAAACCTGACAGGTCTCCAACTGGCATGGCAACTTTCTGTCTGTCTACCCGAGGAGGCACATCCTATGTGCTACCACTACGGCGTATCGCCGTCAACACCAACACCAAGACTAAGCCACTAGGATGAGCTGAACTGCAGCACAGAACCACCCCCGACTGCCCGGCTGCCGACGCGCAACTTGGTACGTACAGTACACATCTGCTCCGTACAGACCCAAGGGTACGTGAAGTGTGTGTGCTTTGCTCGACTCCACAATGAGATTGTGCCTCAAGCCTCCCCTTCCAAACAGGCCGCCGCCTCACACTGAGCTGGACGGCACGGGAGCCGGGGGTGTGACACTTCCCCACGGCAAGGCAAGCAGAGTCCAAGGGCGTCGCATCTCCCTGCAGCCTCTGCGGAAGGAAAGACGCGAACGAGGCCGACAGTCATCGGGAGGACAACTTGGCGTTGGAGCTGTCGAACAAGCTGTTTTGAACACCCGTCACGGTCTCGCCCTGCTGGCATGCTGCATACCTTTCTTGCTTGGATGCATACCCAGGTGCGGAGTACTCAAGTAAGTAGGCAAGACCATCAAGTTAGTACTCCGTACGGTGCTGCGGCGTACGCACTCCTCCCACTCCGCGTAACACGTAGTTACATGCGTCCCAACTAAGGTTGGCTGCAGGTAGCACCAAAGCCCAAATGCCCCGGCAACTGCAGGTCGGTGAATGAGGCATGAGCAGGCGGCCCTGGAGAACACGGCATGCCATACTGTGCGACGACTGTGGCGTGGGAAAACGCACGTCGACTCTGCATCCCAATATGCCCTGATCCCGGACCCATCATCGCTCGTGAACCACTGACGCGGGAACCGAATCGAGATGGTTTGTTCCAACATTAAACAAGGGGCCAGGAGGAAAGGACCACGCCACGTCTATCAACCAAGTCTTGGGCGCCCACGGCCGCGGCGGTTCGGCAGTTTTGATCTCGCGCATCGCTTCCTGGTACGCGCTCATGGGCATCCCAGTACGGAGTACGCCAGTACTGATATCACAAACAACTGCCGAGTCTGTGGGTGGCAGCCCGACTGAGGCAGCACATGCGAGTTCCATGGAATCTTCTACCGTCACGGAGTTGTCCGCCTCGATACCGGCTGCCCTGGTCGCTGTGAGCTCCGGTCCACGGACGCCATACCAAGACGACATTGGCCGCCGTCCCATACACGAGGCAGTAACACAGCGGCATCTATAATAATAAGCACTCCCGGCTGGTCCGTGACCGTGGCACGAGCGCCTCGGGGGCTGTAGATGGGTATCCTCCCCTTAATCAGTGAGCATCGAGAACGAGAACGTGAACCGGACTGGCTGCTCGGCCGATCGCGCTGACTCAAACAAGGCCGATGAGGCGAGAGACAAGCTCTGGGTGACCAGCCAGGGTGTAACCGGTTTGCCCTTGGGCTAATAATATACTCCGTACAGACGTGCAACGTAACGTGTGAACTGAGATCCATATCAAATCTTGCCTGTCTCAAATTGGGTGCTATTCGTGCCTTTTTGCGATACGCATGGCCAGGTAGCTGGCTTATACCCCGTACATGGCCTGCCTTCGGGCCGCATTTGTCAATAACTCAAACTGCTTCTTCGCCTCTGCAGGCATCCCTGACACTGCTGGTGTCCCGATTAGTGCATGTCTTCCGATGTCGCTCCCAGCCTACTCCTGAGGTTGCACGAGTCCAATTCTTATTGCTGCTTTTGAATGCCGATTTCGATGCAAGAATTGAACTGCCAAGTGCGCCGTGCCACACGCCTCGTGCGTGGAGCTCTCACAACAGAAAAGAAATGGAGGAGGAATAAAGACAAAACCACCATCAACCTAAAACTGTAATCAGACATCCATCCTCCGCTTTTCGTACGAAAGAAAATAAAACAAATATTACGTGGTTCGCGCCCCGAAGCCAAAGAAAAAAAGAAAGACTGCATTCTTTCCAGCCGATTCCGATGTGACCAAATTCTTGCGCTGATGAAATAGTACTGTGACCCTGGGTAGTCGCAGGCGGGCGACTGACTGATGCAGGTTCTCCCATCCGCCTAGCCTTAGCCGTGCTTCAATAATTCAAGCCCAAGACACGGAGGCAGAGGCAGAGACGGGACATGGGCGTGGATCCCACATGCCGTTACCGTGCAGAAACGTAAGGGTACGGAGGGTACGAAGGAAACTTGGGCGTAGGCCGTTGAATGAGTTTCGCCCATGGATGATTGCTTGGCTGTTGTCGTTCTCGGCAGGCAGCTGCGGAACCAAGCATCAGTACAATCATCAACACAACATGAAATCCAAAGACTGGGAACTGTTGTGATCATTCGTGGTACGCACAGCAAATGTCGTCGCCCCTATTGCGCGAGTTGTCAGCATCGTGATACATGTCCAAGTGGCGATCCGACGTCGACCCCGAGCACATGAGGGTGGTTTTGGTTCTGAGAGGAGACTCACCAGTACTGTTTGCTGACAATGATGGGCTGACACCTCCGCTCCGTTTCGATGTATTTGGAGCACCAGGATTCAACGAGATGGTAGTGATGCTGGCAGCTTAGCTCTTTCTGTGCGGCTCAAGTGGTTAGTATGGCGTTGGACGCATGGTCCCGTGGTCGTTTGCAGATGAGGCACCAACGTAGATGTAGTTGCACATTTTGGAAGCGCGAGGCGGGAAACAATGCCGGGACAAGATGTGGTGAGGATGGGTGTGCAGATGCCGGAAAGACTCGTCTCCACAAGGCAAGTCGACAGTGGTTGGGATACTCCTTGATGCTTTGGTCGAGAGTGTGATGAAGTTGGCGAGGTGCGGACGAGGGGGAGGTGAGGTGAGGTGAGGTGAGGTATGGTGAGGTATGGTGAGGTATGGTGTGGTATTATATGTATGGAGACGGTGGGAGTTGACGAGCGACGAACGGCGGGGGCCTTGAAGACGGATTGGAATATTCAACTGGACAGGTGAGTAGACAAGGCAGGTACGCCGTACGGAGTACACAAAGGGTCTGGTTCTGGTTGATGCCAGGCAAGGCCAACCGAACTAGTAGTTGCCATTTGTATTTATATTTGTACTCGTGGATTTGTGAGGAGTCAGGAACTGGCCGATGCAACGGGCCATTTTGAGTCTGGTCTGGTCTCAGGTCTCAGGGCACGGCACTCTGTCAATCGTCAATGTTGCGTAAAGTATGTACGTACTCCGTACCGTCGCCTGCTCGACTCCGCTTTGTCCTTTGTCCTTTGTCGTGAGGCCCTACTCGTTAGGTTAGGTCAGGTTAGGTACCCAGCCAGGTACCTGCGGAGCAGACTGGTACTCAAGTGCCTACTTAGGTACTTAGCGGTAGTTGGCCTGCTCAAGTTGCCAAGTGGCTGGACGCCCCCCACGCCCGATCTCCCCCCCCCCGGCCCCTGGACGGACGGCCCAAGGCTCCTATCGCAAGTTTGCTAGTCCGTCGAGTGCTCGAGTACCTACTCAAGTTCTTGAGTACTTAAGGTAGGCACGCATCTGGGTTAAGTACGTGCCCGTACCTTCTCCGTACAGCAGCAAGTAGGGACTTACTTTGAGTAAGTACTCAAGTAAGTACCTACTCAAAGTAGGCCACCTTGTGCTCAACCACCAACGTCCATCGCCAAGGGGGTCAACAAACACCCGCAACGGCCAAGGGTGTGTCCTGTCAATCTGCTCCCCTACCCCGGCAGAACCAGAACGCACCTGGGGGAGGGAGGGGTGGGCATCAGCTGCTCTCAAATGGCTCCCATGCCCCAATGGCGCCACCGGTGTCTGACACCTTCAATGTTGGTTGGCCTTGCATCATGGACTCTTCTCTTGGGTCCAGTCGGTCCAGTCGGTCCAGTCGGTCCAGTCTGGGTGGCATCTGAAGTGGGTGTGCGGGTGCGGGTGCGGGTGCGGGTGCATGTGTCTCAACGTGCGGGTGCCATGTGTGGACCTTGGCTTTGATATTGACCCAGACATTCGCACAGTTGAAATGAGTGAATGCCCAAGGGCCGGACCCTCGCCGCTCCGTCAAGACAATTCCCTCGGCCGCCTCCCTCCTCGACATCATCACCGGCGCTGGGCCGGCCGGCGTCGGTGCCAGTTGCAGCGCGCTTCTGGCCGACTCTACATCTGTGTACCAAGTTAGCAGCTTTCACCAACAGCAGAATGGCCAAGGGAGTTGCCTCGTGCGTGGATTACCATGGTTGACGCTTGCACAGGCCCAAGTCAAAAACTGTACGCACCTAAGCGCCCAGGATCATCTAGGCCACCTTCAAAATATCGTCACCGTATTAACATAATCATTCCTCAAAACCTCGAATACCATGCCTGGAAACCCATATAGCGTCGTAGTCGAATCGCCGTTTGCCTCCGCCCTCTTGGCGCCGCTCTCTTCCCAGCCGCCCAAAAACTCGCAGCTACTCCCCGGACTGTCGCCCCATCCGCGGTTCAACGCCATTCCCCTTTGTGTTTGTGGCACTTTGCCCGGTGAATATGCGCCCTCCCATTTGGCCTTCATCTCTTTTTCAACGTATCTGAATTCCGTTTCCGACGTGACATCCCTGAGGTACGCAATCTCCCACCGGCAGCGGCGGTGGCGGTTGAACTCGTACGAGCCGGGCACGTTGCCGTGGAGGACGACTTTGGACGCCACAAGACGGTCGGGACGATGACGTTTGATGGTGTTTCCTGCGGCGTCTTCGTTGGTGTCGCCTGCGGGAGGCACGGCCGACGGCTCTCCTGGTAGCGAGAGGAGGATGTCAAAGCCGAGATGGAAGTAGTTGTAGAAGCATTCTGCCCAAGGATTGTTGGCTGTTTGTTCGTCCATGACTTCGTCGTTATCTGAATCGTCTGACCCCGTGTTCATCGATGATTGGTCTGTGTCGGTGAGATCATCGGGCCGGCCGATATCAGACGAACCTGGCCGTCCACGAGAGCCGCTCGCCGCTCGCTTCTTGTGAATCACCATCTTCTGATCATTTTTCCGGTAGATAGCATTCGGTGGGCCCAGCTCCATGACCAGCTCCTGGGGTGTCGTTTCTCCTAGCTGAATCCGAAAGGCATTATTCGTCCACCTGCGAAACAAGTCCACCTTGCCACCGCCGTGTATTCGTATCAGCGACACCTCGTCCGGATACACGTCCTTGGTCTTTGGTAGTACGGAGCTCTGTTTAACACTAGGCAGTGTCTCTGTCCACAGTGTCTGTCGCGCTTCCGCCCACGACGTTCCGCTAAATACCGCCATGGAAGTAGCAACCTGGCTCGACGAAGCCGACAACAGCGTCACGACATCCTTGTCGGGTGAGTATGCCGATTTGGCCAGCGAAAAATTAAAGGCCACCCCTGGATATGACAGCACATAGGTACCGTCTTCCTGCCCGCGGGTTGAGGGAATGAACTCGCCGGCATAGGTAGGACCAAGAAGCCGATGGTAAATGTGTCTAAACGTTGGCCCTAGCGACGACTCCCCTGGGCTAGGCGAGCTGGGAGCTGAAGTTCCATTCGTCGTGTGCTTCAGCAAATCCCTATCTTTGAACGTGATGTGGGTTTTTGTAAAATCCACCACCTCAATCAGTCGCAGCCGCTGCTCGGGCCCATCGAAGCGCAGCCGGATTCCATTCCGCGGAAGGACAATACAAACAGGTTCGGTGACGGGCCTATCTGGTGAGTGAAGGACCTCGAATTTTGGAAAACGGTGCGGCTCGGCCTTGAGGCGTGTGAGGACCTCATGGAGCGATGCGCCGAGTACTGCATTGCACGAACACGCCGTGTTAGATAGCAGGTCAACTGCAAGTGCTTGCTGTTCGGAGATACTTACCCAGGAAGCCTAGGGCCCGGCCTGGGTAGAGCTGCGCCGTGAAAAGCGACATCTCGTGGGCTAAAGGAGGAAGCACAGCCTCCTCCGGCCTGGGGGAAGTTGACGCGAGCAGCCGCAGCCGGATTCCACTCGGTAGCCTCGGCTGTCGGATTGGAAGCGGAGAGAGCTCAGATACTAGCAAAAAAGACGTCGCAGAGCAACTCCGGTCCTGGTGTCTGTTTAATTTTTATTTTTATTTTTTTTTTCGTTTTTTTTGTTGAGATGTCGAGACGTGGACACGGGCGACGTTGCAGTTTGTCAAGAGAAGAGCAGGAAGGCCCGGAGGATCAGCAAGTCACAGGTCCGAGTCACGAGCCATGCCGTAGCTGGACGTATTGCGAGGGCCGGGACCTGAATGGCCTGGAGGTGCCAGCCATGTGATGCATGGAGGGGTGGAGGGGCGCCAGGGCATGGATGGGCATGACGTGAAGCCGTCCAGCGCTGACTAAGCAGCCGGCGGCTCGACTCTACTCTCGCGTACACGGCAGTCACCATCATCGCTCAATGCATCAACCGAACAGTCAAGTGAACACGGCCTGCAGACGCCAAAGGCCGAGTCCGTGAAGTGATATAAAAAGTATGAGTATAGTACATCGGCCCACACCATTCGTACAAAGGACAGCAGCCATGTGTCTCTCACCACTCCTCAACCTCTCCCTTTTTCGGCCTCTGCATGCGAACAATCTTGTCGCAATTTAGCAAGCACAGGGGATCAAACGCCTTCTTGATCTATGTATATAGGCTCGGTCAGCGACAACATGCATTGTACAATCGCAACATGCCAACGTACCTGTCTCATCGCATCGACCGTCGACTCGCCAAGCTCATGTGGAAGGTAATCTCTTTTAACCAATCCAACGCCATGCTCGCCCTGACGAAAGAAACACCCCCAAACAAATCCGCCATTAGCATCCCTACCACTGGCAATGAAGCATGCTTTCGGACTTACGGTCACGGTCCCTTCCATCTCGATAGCGCGCTTGACCATGTTGTGCACGACGGCCTCGGCTTTGCTTCGCTGGGCCTCGCTGTACGTCAGGATAGCTTGGGCGAGCACCAGTTAGCAACTACAGGCTCGCAAAAGCAGTCTCACTCACTGTGGAAATTTCCATCGCCGACGTGTCCGACAATGGAGGCCGTCAGACCACTCTTGCGCACATTCTCCTTTGTCTCCTCAATCAGCCGAGGCAGCCGGCTCATGGGCACGGCGACATCCCCAGTCCAGACCCTGTCACCCGCCCTCATCACGGACATGGTGCTCCAGAGGGCTTCCTTGCGGGCGCTCCACAGCTCATCCTGCTCCTCTTGGCTTCTGGCAAACTCGAATGACCTGCTGCCAGTCTGTTTGGCCACGCTCTGTACTTGCGAAATCTGCTCCTTGACGCTGGCAGGGGTGCCTGCGAACTTGAAGAACAGCGTGGGGGCCTCGGTCCACGAGCGCGACGTCATGCCGGCGGCGTTTATAAACTTCATCTGGCTGTCGTCCAGGATCTCCACAGCAGCCACGGGGATGCCCGCGCCAACGACCTTGCCGACACAGGTGGCCGCGTCATGGATGGACGGGAAAGTGCAGACGGCAACACTGGTAGACGCCGGCTTCACGGTGACCTTGAGCGTAGCTTCGGTGACAAGACCAAGGGTGCCCTCGGACCCGATGAACAGCTTGGTAAGGTCGTAGCCAGCGGAGCTCTTTCGCGGCCGTTGTCTGGTCTTGACGACGGTGCCATCGGCCATGACGACGGTCAAACTGAGCACCCACTCGCGCATCGTGCCGTATCTGTAGGCATTTGTACCGCTGCACCCGGTCCCGACCATGCCGCCAATCATGGCTCCCGGACCCGGATCAGGCGGGAAGAAAAGATTATCCTTGGCGAGCTCGTCGTTCAGGGACTCCCACCCAACGGCTGGCTGGACAACAACATCCAGGTCGTCCCCATGGAGCGCGAGCACCCTGTTCATTCTGCCAAAGTTGATGGAGATGCCCCTTCTCGTCTGCGTGAAGTGGCCCTCCAAGCTGGTCCCGCCGCTGTAGCCGACGACCGGAATGCGCCGTCGGTGGCAGACCTTCATAATCTCCGAAACCTCCTCGGTGCTGCTTGGAAACACCACACAAAAGGGCTTCTCGTCCGGCCTCGGTCGATGGCTGGACCACGCGGAGGAGGCGTGATGCTCAATGTCCGTCTCCAGAGTGCTGACATGCTCCTTGCCCACAATCTTGACAAAGTCCGCCCAGGCTGCCTGCATGTTTTCGAGCTTCGTATTATGCTTGGGGTCTTTGACCTTGGAGAGAGGAAGGGTCGAGGCGGGTTCGGCCTCGCGAGGCCAGAACGTGCCCATGTAGTACGCGAGGCTTATGCTAGAAAGAAACACTGCGGTACAGTCAGTTCGGCGTGCTCGCGTCGCGTGAACAGCCCCCGGGCCCTGTTCCGACAAGTGCACCGCCATTACTCACAAAAGGTGACCATCCAGTTCCTCGAGGGGTCCGTCATGTTTCTCCACCGCTCGTACTGCTCTCTCTGCTCTCGCTCGCGCCTCAGCCGCGCTCCAATACTCCCCATGACCTGGCCCTGGAACGACCTCCCCAGCTTCATCTCGTTCCCTTGCCTCGGAGGTTTGGGGTTCCCGGGCTCAATGCCGGTTGAATGGCATCGTACGACGGCACGCACTGCGAGCTCTCGTGGAGCGCGAGCCGCCGACAGCCTCGTGAAGGCATAGCTTCGCAGGGTCGTCGTCGTGGGGGGCATCGCCCGGAGTCCAAGTTGCGCCATGGCAGGACGTGTCTGCCTCTGCTCGAGACCAGCACCCACGGAACCGGCTGCGCCCTCCGTCTGCGGCGGCGGTGATTGTCGGCTCGCAAGCACGGAATGTTTCTAGTTGCTCGACGAGATACGCTCCTCGTGGTTGAGAGAGTTTCGGTCTGCTCCTCTGATGCGTGTTGTCGGGTAGGAGCTCACCGGAAATTTGTCTGGCCGCTAGCGGCGCTCCCCACACGTCAAGAAGTCCAGACTCCAGAATCCAGACTCCAGAATCCAGACTCCAAGCTCTGTTCCACCCGCACCACCACCGGTCCCGCCTCCCGACATGCTGGCATCTGCATCCGCGCCGTGCCATGCCATCGCCTCGACCAGATATATCCGAGGAAAAAGGGCCAACATGGCACTCACGAGGTGGACGTGTCGAGTAATTTGCAACGTCAATCCATGTTATTTGGGAAACTTGCCGGAATGACTTCCTAGGGCGCTGGCAGCTGTCGCCACTTCAAGCAAGCAGCATCTTCCCCTGCCTAAGGAATACATGTTTGGTTGAAAGTACGCTCCAAACCAAGGACATTAGAAGCCGGGCCCCCCATTTCCAATACTGCTACCAAGCGTGGCGACTGGCAAAAGATCTCGGGCAGACGAAGCGAAAGGTCTTCAATAAGAAGGCGGCCGCGGTGGGCGAGAGCAATTGTTAGGTGTCTAGTACATCTCTTGCCGTTTTATTTCTACGACTTCTTCTCCAGGTAAAGACAACGACGGCTGGTGATGCACATACAGCCTGACAAAATACGTTTGCCTACCAGCGCGTATACACTCATGTGCCGCCGCAAATTATAGTATAGCGCGCCATGGCCTGGAGGTGTTGCTCTGGTCAAATACTTTCTACTCCCCACTGTGAAAGAGAACCCGAGTCAAGACCCCTGCGAGAAATGATGGCAATTCCTGTACTGAAATGAGCTCTGTTAGCAGGATGGCCTTCTGGCTTGTTTTTCTCCGAGAGACTACATTGACGTATTGACGTTGTCGGTGCGATAAGCATTGGAGCTTATTGCTGTATGCATATCAACTCCTTCACCATTGCACTTCCAGCTCATGGTAGGTAGCTCACTCATCACGGAACCTTGCGTAAGATATGTCGCTTGAGAAGTACTGTTCAACTCCAACTTCAATCGAACTCCATACCTCGCCCCAGAAGCCCACTAGCTTTCGTAGGTAGCTGGGAGGTGAGGCGAATGGTTTTTCAAGGCGTCTCCCACACTAGTTGCACGTTGAACGTTGGCGCGGTGCCTTGCAAGTGCGCCAAGTACGCGCTTAATTCCTGATCCTCTTCGATCTGGAGAGGTAACTCACAGCCCTTGCCATCCTTGAGCACGCCCTCGACGCGGAGGCATGCCGTCCCAGGGAACTTGGCAGCGGCCACTTGTCGGAGCTCCTGCACTGAATGCGAAGTGAGGGTGGCTATCCATAGATTTGAGCTGGGGATGTAGCTTGACGATGACGGGTGGAAGCGTAGGAAAATTGCACATGCTGTGGATGCTCGCTGGACTTGCGTAAAGACAGGCGCCGACGTGGCCGGCGGCGCGTATTGCGGCTGTACATAGGGTTGATCCATGAAAGCGGCTTGGGTGTTGGCTTCAAGCAACAACGACGAGCTCATCTGAGATTCAAGACCCATTCCTGGCGGTATTGGCGATGATCCAAGCACTCGGGGCGATCGGGGCAATCCATCTCGCGAATCTGACAGGTTCGACGTCTGTGATTGTAGCGACATGGGCAAATGCCCGCCGATGCTGCTGCTTGGAGGGCTAAATGCCATCTGTGAAATGTGAGATACGTCTGACATGGTGTCAAAATTGGGATTTCCGTTTCCCTCCGCCAGAGCCACCTGGTCGTTTGACGGAGAACTAGGTGGATGACCTGTTTCAGACGTCTTGGACAGCTGCCCAGCCTGCGATGAACCGGCCGGGCTGATTGGCAAGTGTTGGTGGTGATGCCTCCTCGTGTCTTTGCGACCTCTCTCATCTCGTAGCCTCTTCATAATATCTTTAGCTAGGACTTCTACAGCTCGAGCCTGCTCCTGCTTTTCGTCACCGTTTGTCCTTGTATTCATCATTATTCGCTTGGCCAAGGCCGATTTATCTCCCCACTTCGTCTTCAAATCTTCCCACTGTTGCGGTGTAGCGTCTGACTTGCATGTGAAACCAGAATCAGCAAGGACCAGGTAGAATGCCGTCCGCATATCGCGTGCCTCTTCCGGGTTAATACCGAGTACATTTTTCGCCTCTGCGAGAGTCATTCTCTTCTCCATGGTCCGCATCCGCTTCGTGACATCCGTACATATGATATCTAGAGCAAGTTGCCGGACCTCGGGTTTCTCGCTATTCGACCAGAGCAAGCCATGTATCTGCGGCATCTGACGAACAAGTTTTGTTTTGGCTGCATCCCATTTCTCGGTGCCAGCCGTGGTCTTCTTGAAAATATTATCCTCTTGGCATATTTGTTGAAATTGTGTCCTCAGAGCGCGATATATGGACACATCAAGGTCGAGAATAGCTCGGGCCTCGTCAAGCGTCATCTCGGACGGAAAGCGATTTAGCGATCCAGACTCGCCCCCAGTGGCAGATTGCCTTGCTCTCCGCCGTTTCCTTCTGGAACTGCTGGCAGATTCTGCACGCATGTCACGGTCCGAATCTTGTTGGGTATCAGAGCCAGTGGCGGACAAGACGTTTCTTGGAGCTGCGGGGGAACCTGCATCCGTCATGGGTACAGACGAGCTGGGCAACTCTTCTCCCTCTGTCTGGTCGTCGTCGTCATCCCCGAGGGGGGCCCTACCTTTGTCGCCGTTGGGTGCTCTCAATAACCACCGGTTCCGAGCTCGGACTCTGACAAGTTCTCTAGCCTTGATGTCGAAGCCATCCTCCTCATTCAAGATCCGAAGCATCTCCTTCTGGGCCAAATTCTTTTCCCAGAGTTCCTTGATGCGGCTTACCAGACGGTCATTCTGGTATGCGGGCCGTTGCTTTGGCGGAAAGTTCCAGCGGCGGAACTGCGTCTGGAATGCTCGCTTGCTAGAAGCTGTGTAAGTTGCAGTTCATTCTACAACAAAACAGAGAAAGCAGGCTGAGGAGCAGTTGAGCAGCAAGCAGCAAGCGCGCCAAGCAAGCGACGAGCGTGGAGCCACGCAAGCTGGATCAGGGTGCGTCTACCCCGTTCACACCATGGCCGATAGTGCGGGCAGAGTTGTCATAGATTGTATGTGTATGCAGACGCACTTGGCAGCCCAGTCGAACTGCATCATAACTCGGGGTGCAAGCGGTGCTATGCGGTGCCATGGTGTCATGGTGTCGTGGTGTCGTGGTGCCACGGTGCCATGTCTGAGTGACTCACCTCGGTGTGAACTTGTGAACAGTCTTCATATGGTCCATAATGTCCTCGAGGGACCTGCCCTCGTCGATATACAGCCGATAACACGTCTCCTGATGCGCGTCCCAGTCATATACCATATTATGGACAGGTGAAGCCGTGACATGACTTCCTGCCGGGGCATTGCAAAAGACGGACTCGAGCGGCTGGGCAAGAGCGCAAGCAAGCCAGCAACACAACACACTGCAGTTGCAGTGGAGCTGGCTGAGCGGGAGCTGTTGCGTGGTCACTGGTGATGGGCAGGGATGCGAAGGTGTTGGTGGGATCGATGTTCCAATCGTCGTGGACATGGAAAAGGATGAAGCCTGCTTAGTCACCAGCAGCCAGTCAAGAACTCGTCATCAAGGGCAAAGCAAGCGGCCAAGCAAGCGGGTGTCATCGGGGACGCGCACATGAAGCGAACCCCGACAATTGCACAGACCAGGGATCGGATATTAAAACGAAATGGCTACGACTTGCAGCTTCGCCATCCAGTCTTCCGTCACATGGAAGAAATCGAGTCCGGAGTACGGAGTGCAGCTCCGAGTAATAAATGGACAGTGCCCGTCCGGTTGGCGTCCGCAAATCGAACCTCGGCAACGCCCACTCTCAAGTAAGGTACCTAGGTACTTGGGTAACTTGCCTAGGTACTCCGTACTCCGTACCCCGTACCTACGTGGTGAATGCATCGTGCACATCGCATCATCCATCAACCACCAAACTTGGATCCATCTCCAACCAAGGCCAAATTCTGCTCCAGACACATGCACGCTCTGCGCAAGTGACACACCGGCACGCCATCCCCCCCCCCCGCCGTCAATCATCGTGCGCGACTCGCCCTCCTCTGTCAATTCCAAAACTCCCCATCCGCCAAACCACAAGCACGCCCGATATGGCATCGCATCCAGAATCGTACCAAAAGCTCAGCTTCCCAACCCTCCTCGTCTCCCACCACCCGCCGTCCTCGCCGTCTCCAACCCCCGTCATCATCGTCAAACTCCACCGCCCCTCGCACCGCAATGGCTTCACCGACACCATGGCCGACGACCTCGTGACCGTCTTCAGCACCCTGTCCCTCGACCCCCGCGTCAAAGCCGTCGTCCTCACCTCCTCCGACCCCAAGAACCACATGTTCAGCGCCGGAATGGACTTCTCCTCGACCCAGGGCGTCGCGCCCACCGCCGAGCTCCACCGCGACGGGGGCGGCCGCATCTCCGTCGCCATATACAGATGCAACAAGCCCGTCATCGCCGCCATCAACGGCCACGCCGTCGGCGTAGGCATCACCATGACCCTCGCCGCCAACATCCGCATCGCTAGCTCCGAGGCCAGGATCGGCTTCGTCTTTGGCAGGAGGGGCTTCTGTCTCGAGGCCTGCAGCAGCTTCTTCCTGCCCAGGCTGATCGGCACGTCCAGAGCTTTGCATCTGACCACCACGGGCGCCGTCTACCCGGCGAGCCACAGGCTCCTCGACGGACTGTTCAGCGAGGTCGTCCCCCCCGAGGACGTCTTGCCCACGGCGCTGAAGATTGCCGAGGATATAGCCGTCAATGTGAGCAATGTCTCGTCGAGGCTCATGAAGGACATGATTTACACAACGACGAGCTCCCCAGAGGAGGCGCATTTGCTCGAGAGCAAGCTGTTTCATGGCTTGTGGCACGGCAAGGATGCAAAAGAGGGTGTTGAAAGCTTCATGAAAAAGAGGCAGCCCGACTTTAAAGGCACCATGGAAGATGGCTTGCCATACTATCCGTGGTGGACGCCCGTTGATGTCAAGCCGCCTGCTAAATTGTAGCAGTCGCACCACCAAGACACCCACGTCGGGTTTGGATTCGAAGTATTTCTCGAGTCCATTTCGTCTGTCAAAAATCTCAGCATCGCCATACAAGGGTTTTTTTTGAAGCCTTGGTTAAAGACCAATCGCTCTGCCCTACTAGAATAAACGCACCGCGCGACCAGCTCTGAAATCAGTCCTCATGGATGTTTCCCCCTCTCACGACGAGCTCCTCCCGTAGTACCTCTTTCTCTTTCTCACAAGCACGTCCTCGCCTCTCCACCCTCTGCTCGGGTGAATTGTCTTCAGAAATCCATCAGTATGTACGGCACCCACCACCTCGTCATCCGAATCATCATCCCCTGATGCGTGGCCCGGATGAACAAGGTTCATGTGGCGACGGAGATTGGCTCGTCTCGAAAAACCCTTGGCTGCACGATCACACACCGGAATCGGGCAGAAGAGCAGCCCTGCCGAGGAGCGGGAACATGAGCGGGAACCGGAACGCGAAAGAGACCGGCGGCGAGGGGTGGCAGGCGAGGGCCCTCGGGAAGATCGAGCGAGAGATGCCTGCCGGGATGTGATACGGCGCTGCGAGAGGGTTGGCGCGGGTTCCGACTCGGATTCAGCCGAAGACGACGCAAGTTGGATTTTTGAGGGGCGGTACTCTTTGCTGATGAACGGCGGAACTCGTGCGGAAGGGACTTCGTCTAGACGTCTGATAACCATGCCCTGACCAAAAAGATCGGCGCATCGCTTGGCAGTGCGTGCTATGACGGAATCAGAGAATCCCGCCAGTGCAGCAGCTCCAAGGACATCGCTCCAGTCTCTCAGACCCCATCTACGTAGCTTCCTCTCAACGTTGGTTTCGCCAGTGACTATCTGTGGGATAGACGCTTCCGACTGCGCCGTTGAACCGGATCGCTCACGCTCGCGGCGATAACCTTGCTCGAGCCACGCTTCAAACGCGGCATCTTTCTCTGCAGCCGTGACAGGCAGCCTTCTGTGCCCTTCCCTAGCTACACGGTGCCGCATTTCCTCTTCCGTCTCGCCCTGTCGAGGCGTGTGGATCTTGCGCGGCCGGCCCCGACGTCTGGAGCCCCGTAGATTACGTTGCTCCGAGGATGAAGGCGCTTCTCCGGGCTGCGGAGTACGCCTTGGACGACCCCTTCTACCTCTGTTTCGATGTGTGCCTGCCTCGGAGTCTTCTTCTGTGGAGGATTCTGATGCAGAGAGGTAGCTGAGGCCAGCGACGCGGGCGTTGTGCAGAATGGTGAGGGTGCGGTCAAGCTGTGTGAGCATGTGGCGGACAGAAGGACGGAGGAGATGATTCGACAGGTCGTCATTCGAGGATACAGTCGGTCTGTATGTATTTTCTTGTCTGGTGTGAATATTTTCCAAGTCCTCATCTTCCTTGTCCTCACCGGACCCATCCTCGCCATGGTCGACAGACATGCTGTCCCTCCCCGATCGCGTACTCGGTACAGGAGGAGAGGAGGGCAGAGAAGATTCATCTTCAGACTGGTCTCCTGATCGAGTCGGCAACGGGCTAGAAGGGCTCTCAATAGACGGGTGCGGCGCAGGGTGCCTCGACCGTCGGCGATATCGTTCCTTGGCCAGGCGCAACACTGTCGCGGCGAGCTCATCCCGAAGCTCCGTACTGGGCATCCTATTCTCCCGTTTGCGCAACGTGAACCTCTCTTCTTCGTCATGTTGTATCGGAAACAGCCCTTCGGTCGGGACATGCTCCTCTTTGAGTGGCCATGCCGTCCACATTTTCGGCGGCGCCCAGACAGTCTGTTGCTGTCCATCTTGCTGCTCATCATCAGCTCAGCTCCGTAGACGCTGCTCGATGCAGCCCCTTCCCCTCCGACCCGAACTTGACATGATGTACACGACGTACCGTCCAAACAGTGAGGCCCTGCGCGGTCGCCTGGTCTCTCCCTTGCCTCTTCAAAGCAAACGTGTCGTACAAATGCACAGCCAGGTCCCTGTCAGCAAGCTGTTGCATGGACCGCCAGAGAAGTCGCTCCTCGCGGGTAAGTTCCCTCCATGTCGACGCAGGCCCCGTCCAACGGTTTGGCCTGTTCTCGTACAAGTCTTCTGATGCCACAGATGCGATCTCATCGGTGTCCAGGTCCCAGTTGGCGGGTTGTTTCTCGTCCATGCTCGCGCCATGCCATGACCTGAAAATGGGCGCCCTCTAAAGTATATACAAATGCACGGATTGCAAATGCGACTTTACCCGGGAGACGGATCTCTCTGGGATTGGTGCTGCTTGTGCGAAGTTGCGGTTGGCAAAAATTATGGCCTGCGTCGAGTTGAGTGGGCTCCACATGTCGCCAAGACCCAGGCGCCATTGGCATTGGTCCGCCATCCATCATCACTCTGAACATCTCTCGACATGCCGACATTGGAGACGCACATCTGCGTGACAAAATTTCCATGTGATTTCATCTACAAGTGTTTTATCAACAACTACCAACAGCGATCCTAGTTACGCCTTGCCCTTGGCCTTGCCCTTGGCCTTTTCCTTTTCCTTTTCGAGCTTTCTTCTCTTCGCTCGTAACTTCTGGTCCTCTGCGCTCTTCTTGTTATTCGTGTACATCATCTGCTCATATAGTTTCCTCTTCTTCTTGCTCAGCATGCCCTTGGCACGCTCGAGTTCCTCGGCTTCCTCCTTCGCCTTCTTGGCTAGTGCTTTTCGTGCCTGTTCCTTGGCCTTGGCCTTGGCCTTGCTGCTTGTAGCCTCGGTTTCGACACAGGCGCCCGCCAATTCCGCCTCCAGTTCCCGCTGCCGGAGAGCAGCCTCGTCTTCTTCCTCTTCTTCCTCGTCTTCCTCGACATCTTCCTCCATTTTCTCGGCACCTTCCTTGTCTTCCTCTTCATTTTCGATTTCCTCGTCCTCATCCGCGTCTTCGGCAACGTCCATGCCCTCGGCAGTTTCGTCGTCGTCTTCATCAGCTTCTAGAGCCTCTTCCTCAGGCTCCTGCTCCTCCAAAGGTACTGTAGGGTCGTATGAGCCCTCAGCAGGCTTGGCAAAAGGACTCAGATGAGGCGGCAGGGATGCTCCCGGGCCGTACAGATGAGGCTCCTTGAGTTCCACATCATTGACGCAGTCCCACACCCATTGGGGCTGAACGTATATCCGACCTGGGACCCGCACATTGACAGCCAGCTTCTGTGATGTCTGGTTGTCTTGAGCGTCGCTTGCTTCTTCCGTTGCCGCCTGAACAGGGGGTCTGTCGACGATCTGATGCGTAATGTTAGGGTCCAACTCATCTGTTGTGAAGGCGCCGCCGCCCAGGACAGGGTCCCACCCGACACGCCTGCAGCCGAATGCTTTCAACAGAAACTCAAGAGGCTGACGAGGAGTTTCGCGAGAGAGATAAAAGGTGAAATTGGAGAACAAGGTGCTGTGGTCGTTTTCATTGGCCGACGGCTGGATTAGCACATCGCCACCAGGAGCGGTAGGTTCAAACTTGTCAATGGCGCCATCATTCACTTCCTCAGTCTCAACGGTGCCATTCTCGGTGTCCTCGGGGCCATCAGTCAGGTCAGCATTCTGCAGCTTCTTCAGAAGCTTGTTCACGGCAGCTTGGGTCTTGGCGTCAGGCTTATGTGAAGTATCCTGCGATGTCTTTGGCTCCTCAGCGCCGACCAAAGCTTTGCCCTCCAGGGTGAGCGCGCCCAGTTCGGCGGCGTTCTCATCCTTGACGGAGTCAAACTTGGGCGGATATTTGATGCCGATGGAGGTGTATAGCCGGAAGTTGACGAAGCCCATGAGGGTCATGTAAAACTCGACAAAAGTGCCCATGATTCTGAAGTCGACATCGCCGACAATTCTCTGATTAAACTTGTAAGGCACCAGCCAGAGGATATCCTCGCCCTGGATGTTGGCCTGGTAGTAGATGCCCTTGATAGAAAGGAAGGACTTTGTCAGGCTTCGGGAGAGAATGAGATACTGCTGGAACTCGAGGCAGAGTCTCTCGCAGCGAGCAATCATCTTGGCCGGAACACTGGCGGTGGACGGCAGGTTGGCAAAGAGAAACAGCATAGACAGGCAGTCATCCAGATCCCTCAGCGCATCAACAAAAGTCGGATAGCGCTCGCGAACGACATGGTCAAGAGTGTATCGAGGTTTGCCCGTCTTTTCTGGTCGCGAAGCATTTCCTTCGAGTCGCTTGGCATCGCCGACATCACCACGACCCAACGCCCTGGCGATCTTCTTTTCCAGGACCTTTTGATCACGGAACTTTTGCAGAAGCGGTTCGTGGAGGAGGTACTGGATATCCTTGGCGTAGTAAAAGGTGGTCGACGCAGTGGATGACTTGGAGACCTTCTTCTTGCTGCGAGGTTCGCGAGGGTAGATGCCCTTCCAAATACACAGCTGACGGAAGTCGGCCAGGCTGATTTGAAGTTTTCGAATGGCCTGGTTTCGGGTGAGGTAATTCTTGGCCGCACCGGCCTGGCCCTTCTTCTTTATCCGACCCATTGCTGCTCGAACTGGACCGCCGGGATCGTCGGGGGTTTTTTTTTATATTTCTGTTGTATGGGAAGGGCAGCGGGGCGGCCTTCTGCTGTGTCTTGACTTTTTTTTTTTTGGAAAGTCAACTGGAGTTTTTTACTGCCAGAAAGCACCGCCCAAGTCTTCAACCATTCTTGGTTTAGCGTGATGCAGGCAGACCCTTGCTGCGGCGACGCACCAGTTCACGTTCTGGATTATTGCACCAACTGGGATATCGACGCCTCTGTTGGAGGTTGAATGGAGATTACTTGTAGATGTTACTTTTTAAGATAATTCGTGAGTAGTTGAGGGTAGTAAAATATTTCATTGCTAGGTCTAAGCATCTTTTGCGCTATCCTGCTAGACTGCCCACTATGCGCTTCACACAGCAGCTCCACCAAGTGAAGTAGTTGATCCTTTAAAAATTAAAATTTTAAAGAAAAAAAATACAAATAAAGATGAACGAATAAATTACTCGACAGCAGGTGTTCATCTGTAACGACGGGCGTGTCTGCAGGACCAATGTCGTGAATTCCATTGACATGTCGACGAGCGCAACTCCACTTCACACCTTCCATCCATCGGCCCGTGAATCCGAAGCGCCAAGCCGAGTGGCCGCCTCGCCTCCTCCATACGCCCTTCGTACCTCCGTCCCTCCATCCCTCCATCCCTCCATCCGAGCTGCCTCGATTGACTACCGACTCCGGACCATCGCGTCTCCCCTCCTCGCACCCCTTGGCAGAGCAATGGCCTGACCAGGTGCCATGGCCTCAACCATGTCGCTGCGAGGCAAAGCTGGCCTTTACGCTGGCGCTGCCGCCCTCCGACTCCTTCTCGCCGTCGCCTTCCCCGGGCTGCCAGACCTCTTGACTGGACGTGTAGAGATTTCCACCCCCGTCACGAGCTTCAAGCGATGTAAGTGCGGCCGCGTGGGCCTCGATATCTCGACGTGACTTTCGCAGGCGGACAGCCCCTTCCTTCAGCTGAGCTGCCTCCAAGACGCACGCGGCTGACCATGTCCTGTTGCAGTACAAGAAGGACTGTTCCTTTACAACCACAATGTGTGGCCCTACGACGGCGGCGTATACCACCAGGCGCCGCTTCTTCTGCCGCTGTTTTCGCTGCTTCCCTCGGCCAAGACCTGGCCCGTCTTCACGTCGCTGTTCTACATACTAGTCGACCTGCTCAGCGCCCATGCGCTCTCAACCATTGCCGACTCAGGCGAAGCCGGGCAGTCGAGGCTGTTCACGTCGCTACGCAGAGCGAGGCGAGCATGCGGCCTAGCAGTAGCCGCCGCGTACGTGGCTCCCCCTACAATCAAAAACAAGGAAGAAGCTCGGGTTCCATGGCCCAGCCCTCGCGTGCGTCGGAGCGCTACGGAAACTGACGTGTCCCAGATTCCTCTTCAACCCCTTCACAATCGCCAGCTGCATCGGCCGATCGACGAGCATCTTCACCACGTGCGCCATCCTCCACGCCATATCCAAAGCCGTCCAGGGCTCCGCGTTCAACGCCATGGTCGCCCTCTCCTTCGCCTCCTACCTGTCCATGTACCCCATCCTCCTCCTGCCGCCACTCGTCCTGCTCTCCTTGGACCGGCAGCCCGAAGCCCGCCGCCCCGCCAGCGCCGTCACCTTCGGAGCCAAGTGCGTCGCCATCACCGCCGTCTGCCTCGGCCTCCTGCTGGGCATGTCCTTCGTGCTCACCGGCAACTCGTGGGAATTCCTCTCCCGCACGTACGGCATCCAGCTCACACTGTCGGATCTCACCCCCAACGTCGGTCTGTGGTGGTACTTCTTCATCGAGATGTTCGACTCCTTCCGGGCCTTCTTCCTCGCCGTCTTCTGGCTCCACCTCGCGGCCTACGTCGGCGGCCTGACGATCCGCCTGCGCACGCAACCCCTCGCCGTGCTGACCATCCTCCTCGGCATCTTCTCCATCTTCAAGCCGTACCCCTCCATCTCCGACGCGAGCCTGTTTCTCGCCATGCTCCCGCTGTTCTGGCACGTCTTCCCCCTCATGAGGTATACCTACGTCGCGTCCGCGACGCTGCTGTACGCGACCTTTCTGGGCCCCGCCTTCTATCACCTTTGGATATATGCTGGTAGCGGAAACGCCAATTTCTTCTACGCCATCACCCTGGTGTGGAGTCTGGGGCAGAGCTTGTTGGTCACCGATTTGACCTTTGCCGTACTACGAGACGAGTGGGAGGTGGAGCGTCCAGAGATGATTGGGAAGGAGGTGAAGCAAATCTAGAGCTGCAAGCCCTCAACTTGATGCCGAAGCAGAGTTGTCTTTTAGAAGGAAAAAAAGAAAAGGGGGGGGGGGGGCGAGTATGTGTAGAAAATGGCTCCGTACAAAGGGACCAGACAACGTCCTTTGGATGGGGAAATCGTAAAACCTATGCATTCATACTGTACAATTTGACCTTCACAGTGAAACGGGTATCTGGGCCTCCATCTTCTCTGATCTATTGATCCGACTAATCCACCTCCGAGTCAACCTCGACGAGGCGACCACTCGGAGAAGCAGCTGCGGCGGCCATCGGACCCGGTTGGCACGGCCCCATGGCACTGCTCAGCATAATGCCAACATCTCCAAACTGGCTCAGCCTAGATGCGCGACGGAGTTGTCTCCAAACCTGCACTCCGGCCCCAAACGGCTGAAGGGTCTTGTACACGTGCAACCCGTACCTGACGGCAGCGCCGGTAAGCACGACGCTCATCATGATGACGAAAGCCCTCTGATCCAGGCCCTTGACGCCCACTTCTGTCCTGTACCGCATTTCGTTGGCATAATGCTCTCCGAGGCTGGGAACGTTTCGTGCGACGGAGTCGGCTACACGGACAGTTGAGCTTAGAAGTGAGGGGGCCGCGGCTGTAGGAGCCCACGTCAAATCGGTGGGGGTCATTGACTCTACGAACACGGCCAGCCGTGGAGTCTCTGCTCGGATCCAGTCCCTCAGAAAGCTTCTGGGCACATCTGGGACGACCATGAGTGCCAGGAAGCCGTATGCCAAGCAGTCCAGAGATGACGGGTGGCTTCCGCCAAAGAAGCGAGGCGGCTTCGCATCCGGACCGGTCTCCCCCAGCAGGGATTGCACGACGGACAGACAGTCCTCTGCCAGCCCGTGCAAGCGTATGGCAGCAGCCTGCTCGGGCGTCATCTCCTCTCGCACAGTCTTCTTCGTCGGCGCGGGCAGATGTCTGCGGAACGTCTCGGGCAAGGCGTCCCTACCGGCAGTCAAATGCAGTCCGCCGTTGTGATCAAAGTCTGTATCCAGCTCGGCGAGGCCAAGATGCTCCGCGCGCCGGGCAGCCTCGGCTCGTATCAGGGGCGGCAGCGTCCACGTCAAGGGGAATGGCAACAGGGCGTTGTAGGCCGGTCTCGTTGCCGCAGCCCAGTTGGCGGCCGAGACGTAGAGAGAGAGATCGACGAGAGGCGCAGCACTGGCCAGCAGGTAGGCGCTGTACGCGACGGCGTCTGCTTGCTGGACGGGGCTCAGACTCGCGTCGAGATTTGCACAGAGCGACTTGCGGGTGAGGTAGTCGACTATGGGACGATAACCGCTCACCCACGTGCCGTCGTGGTCGAGGGCGGGGAGAAGATCTGGTCCGAGACGGTCAGATGGCTCGCAGTCAAGGCGAGCAGCACGCACGCACGCATCATGGGGCGCAAGGGCTCGGCATACTAGAGGGATTGGCGGAGGGATCGTTGCTCGGGACGAGGCGCCAACCGCTGGCAGGAAGCGCATTGTGTAGATGGGTGATGATGGCGAGACACTCGGCGTCGATGGAGGCCAGGCCAAAGGCTGGTCCCCAGACATGGAGGTGCAGCATGATGTGGCGACGGCGTGGCCAAGCTCAGTGGTGTTTGTCTTCAAGGTGCTGCCCTTGCCGCCGTGACGCAGTTGGTGCGAACGGTCCTACGAGGGAGCACAGCGGAGGGCAATGCGGACGCGGGCACGGCATTGGAACGAGGTGAATGCAAGCTTGAAGCTCAAGCTCGACGAGGCTGGCTTGCAGCCGTGGTGTGGGGGCTGCGGATGGATGGATCCTCGGTTGAAGCGGCCCCATTTTTCAGCAATACCTAGCGTGCACCTGCTGGCAACGGGTTGCGTCACCTGCAGCTGGTGTAGAGATAATGTAGCGTTTTGTAACCTTGAATATTGCTGGGACTGGCGGCCTTGTCGAGGTTCCCAGTAGAGGCTGTAGAGCGACGTATTTTTAAATGCTGGGTTTTTGATTGGCTCAAATACTGTATGCCTTGGGCACAGGCGACGCACCATCTATGGCAGATGATAAATCTCGGTGAGTTGACATGCCCGATCAGCAGCTTTGGAAGTCGCAGCCAACATTGAACATTGGACGGTTCAGTTCAGCCCAGTCATTCTTGGTCCTCCACGTGCTCATGGACCGATGAGACTCGTTCAAGTCACGCACGCAGGGCCGGGGCAGAGTCGAGAAGTTGGCCGGGTGGCAACAACACAGACGGCGACCGCGACACGATGAAACTGCTGATCCGCATCACATAGCATACCTCGTCTGAGACTGCAACAAACCGCAGCATGTTTCAATGCCGATGGGCATTGGCAGCCAGCATTGACGACGCGGGATCCAGGTCAGGAAAAGATGCTACAAGCTTACAAGTCGCATTCCAGCCACGACGGAGCAAAGTACGGAGTATCGGAGAACGGAACGGGGCAACTCGACTCGGGCACTCGGACCGCCGTCTCATGAGTTGTCCGACGGGACACCACCTCCAAGTCCAAGCGCGCGCACATGGCATGGCGTGCAGCGGCCAGCCAGCCTTGATACGATGCAAAAGAAGACAAGGCGAAGACAAAAAAAAAAAAAATTCCCCACAAGTGGCAGGCAGGTCTTTCGTCGGCCATGCATCACGGCCCATGCATGATTCACAACCCCTGACGATCAGGAACAAAAACTACTGCTGCTACTCCGTACTAGTAGCAGTCTGGCACACAGACCCTTTTTCGCAGAACCGAGTTGCCGAGCTATTATTACCATCCCAAAGGCAAACACGACATGAGCAAACAAATTTTTTTATCCCACCAACATGTTGCATGCCAAGCGAGCGTTACATTGCAGCCAGCAACACCAGAGGTCCCAGAAACGGCCAAGGAACCTGCGACATGGGCTTTTCTAAGTATAGATGTCAGACCACCGAGAGTCGGAGTCATACAGGCCTCTTTGATGCTACCCTTGCGGCCTTGCCAGGCCATGTGTTTGTTGCGAGGGAGAGAAAGGTGCCAGGGACAACAAGGCGGGTTTCTCAACCTGTGCCATGCCTGATTCAGAACGCGGCAAACGACAATATAACACGAAGCATGTACCCCGTACGACGACTTGATAGCACGACAGTACTCCGTACAGCGGGCATACATTCCTACCTACATACTACATACAGCCTTGTCCCTGCAGTAGTAGCCCATCGGTAATTTAGAATCGCGGGTCGCAATGCTTCCTCCGCGCCCACTTTCACTTTGGGAGACAAGCCCACGGTCCCCTTTTTCTTTTTTCTTTTTCTTTTGTTCTCAGAAGAGTCGAAGCCCCGTCAGTAATATTCAAGTAACTACGTACTGCTCCGTGTATGGAGTACAGTCCTCCGCAATGCAATGCAAAGCATCGCATACCGAGGCAATGGCCTGGCACCTCGCGTCCTATACGTACACACTAGTACATGTGTATTCTCATCATTCTTCATGGCCCCCTTTTCTTATTGCAGCATGATGAACCCCCACATTTCTGGCTGTGTGCATTGCAAATTTCACAGGGAGAAGCAAGAAGACATCAAATAATAAATAAATGATAGAAATGCACAGGCGGTTAAAAAGAAAAAAGAAAAAAAAAAGTCACTCGCAAGACGAGATATATTACATCCATGGTTACGTCAAGCAAGCAATAGTAATAGCACCCCAACGCCACGCTTGGTCGCAAAAGCCGTCGCCACAAGCGAGGGCCGCAGCCGGCCGCCATTGGGCATCGTCGGTGGGGCGGCGGGGCCCGCGCGCAAGGGACGTGGCGTGGCGTGGAGAAACTCCGGCTCGTGACGTTGCGCCGGCCAAAACTCTATCTGTCAATCCTGCCGAGACCGACGACGTAGCAAGCAGCTAGCTCGCGTGCAAGCTTGTGCAAGCTTGTTCTGTGCTGTGCTGTGCAAGCTTGTGCTGTGCTGTGCTGTGCTGTGCTGGTCGAGGCAATGCCGCAATGCGGCAACGCCTTGCTTTCTGGATGCATAGCACAGCACGGGGTCGACAAGGTCCGAAACATCAAGCACTTGACGAAAGAGGACGCGGATGAGAAAGGGACCCAAAGACGCTGCCCGCGCCTGCGTCTCCTGCGGAAAACCCACGCTTCAAACATGGAGACGCGTCCGCCATCGCCATCGCCATCGTCATCGCGGCATTTTGGCCGACTCCGACGCCCGCCAAGTGGCCTGGCCGGTGGCTGGTCAACCAGGCAAGCGCCCGTGGTTGTCGGCATTCCCGCCCTTGTCTCAAAGTTGCAACTCGCCCGCACGCCCCCTTGCGCGACGCGACCCGTGGTGGCTGGTGCTGGTGCTGGTGCTGGTGCTCGCTCGCCGCTCGTGTTGGCCTGCACGACGAGGCAAGGCAAGGCGAGACGAGACGAGGCGAGGCGAGGCAAGGCGAGACGAGACGAGGCGAGGCGAGGCAAGGCGTCTGGGGGCACTCCGCCAATAGTAGCTGATGGGTACTGTATCAAGATGCCTACCTAACGTTAGGTACGGAGTACGGAGTACGGAGTAGTCTCTGTCTTGTCCTCTTCATTCTCCTGCAGAGGATTCATTCGTCTGCAAACGGACCTTGGCCCCTTCTCCACCTGCCTTGCTGGTGATGTGACGAGTCTCAGCTGGCATCATGACCGCTTCTTGATGCGGTGACACCAATGCGACGCAAAAATAGCAAAGGCTGTGTTTGGAGGAATCGGCAGCCTTCGCGCTACGAGAGTGTAGATGACCCGACTATTGCTCGCCTACCTGAGCTGACCTGACTACTATAGTTGACCTGACCTGACTATTGCTATAGGGGGATAAGGGGGCATAATAGATTTTAATTAGTTAGATTTTCTTTATAGAATTTATTTTTAGTAGAGTAAAAGATAGAGCAAAATAAGTTCTAATTAGGCAGAAAATTATTATAAAATGCAATTAAATTATATAGAATATTTATAAAAAGTAGATCTAGAAATTTTAATATATTAGCTGCAGCCTTCTTTTAAAAAAATTTTTTTCTTTATATCTTGCTTTCTTATTAAACTAAGGCTATACTATTAAAATAATATTATATTATAAAGAATTTATAAGTATTCTCTTTAGAATTTATTCTAAATACACTTAGAATTAACTCTAATTAAATTCTAAACTAGAAAGTATTTTAGTAGTATATAAGTATTATTCTAGCTAGATTTTAATAAAATTTTATAATAGTTTAATATTAATACTATATAAATTACTACTTGCTTTATATAAAGTGTAAAGTATAACTATTATAATATATAGTTAAGCTCTTGCTTGCTACTAGAATAGCAGAAAAGCTGCTAAGTTTAGAATTAATACTACTACCTAGAGGCAGGCAAAAAGGCTGCAGTATATTATAAGTAGCATTTAGAACTAATTTAAAATTAATTATTGCTAAATTCTAACTATCTCTAGATGTAAAATCTTCCTAAAGTAAGATTAACTTAAAAAATATTATTAATAAGACTTATCTATATACTTCTCCTTTTAGTAATATAGATAGAAAGCTTAGTAGTAGTACTTATAATAATATCTTATAACTTAGCGAATTTTTTTTTTTAAAAAAAAAATTAGCATTATAGAATAAATAAATACTCTAGAAATATTACTAGTTTTTTTTAGTTAATAAAATAAAATTTTTGTTTCAAGTATAAATATTTAATTAAACTCTTGTAATTATAATTAAATTTAGTAAAATAAATGTATTGTTTAATATATAATTATATATAAATTTAGTAAAATGTGCAGCTGCTATATAGCATTATAAGTAGAGGCAATTAAGTGCAAGAAAGAAAGTTCTTATATTAGTTTATATTTTAGAGGCAGTCTTAAGCTAGCGCAGTAGTGCTATAGACTAGAGGCTGAAAAGTTGCTTACTTTATAATAAAAAAAAATTATACTAATAATAGAAAATACATAAAATATAAGTATAATTATAAAGAAATAGTAGAAAATTATAGTAAAATAGTAGAAAATTAAGGGAAAAAAATAGAATTTATATCTAAATTATTTACTATATTATTTGTATTTATATTTAAGATATTTTATTAAGGCAACTAGAGTTATAATTATAGAAATACTGGTTATCTTTATAGTAAATTCTAGTTGTTTTCTTATATAATTTAAGCTTATACCTTTAAAGTTTCTAACTTTAATTAAGTTTTTTATTCTTTATCTTTTTGTTAAGTTTCTCTTTCTATAGCTCTAGCCTTAGCTTAAATTTATACTATATTTACTTGTTTTTCTTGTAATTTAAGAAGATTTTAGCTTTATATTTTAATAGCTAAATAGTATAAATTTTAATGCAAGTTATTAGTACTAAATATAATTAGTAAGTTAATAATAAATTTAATATAAATAAATTCTTATACCTTCTTTATTAAGATTGCCTTTATTATTAAGGCATACTACTAGGATTGCCTTTATTATTAAAGTATACTACTAAATAAAACGCTATAATTAAATATACTTTCTATATTATTAAGAAAACTAAAGTTATCTTTAAAATAATCTTAAAAGATAGCTTTAGAAGGTACTCTAGCTAGGACTTTAAGTAGAGTTA